AAACGATGATATAATTAAATGTTTAAACATACTCGTTAGGTCAAAGGAAGGAGCCATGGGCATGATATTTCCTTTACTCACTGTTGAATTTTTGAGCAGTGATCAGTATACTTTTTTCCTTGTATGTTAAAATATACATAGTCTAAAGGCTACCATTTTAAAGTATAGTTTTATAGCATTAAATACATTCACATTTTTGTGCTGTTTCAATATGCTTTTTCCTGAAATTATTATATTGAAGTAATTCAATATTTTCATGATTGAGACCCAAAGCTGTGCTTGCATTGAATAAGCTTACTTTCTCTGCGGCTTTGCAATGTGTTCTAAAGAAAAATGATTTTGTTTGTTGAGTTTTTGTTAAAGAACTTGCAGTATATCTGATCCTGTTGGGCTCAGAGAGAGCAAATGTCAATGGGAATTTATGAAAACATGTTTATTAATTTAGCTTATGTGAACTTTTTTTCAATGTTAGTTTAATATGTTTAGGAAACTGAAAATTTTTTACTGTTGTGTAGGAGTCTCATTTCATCATGATTGGTAGTATCTTATTCCTAATAGTAGATAAGCATCAATGTTGTAGAAAATAATGAAGAAATAAAAAAATTGGAACAATGTTTGGCCATTTTCCTCTAGTATTTTAAATGATTTCTAAGACTGGAAATCAAGCCGGGCTCGGTGGCTCAGCCTGTAATCCCGCACCTTTGGGAGGCTGAGGTGAGTGGATTGCCTGAGCTTGTGGGTTCAAGACCCGCCTGGGCAGCGAGACCTTATCTCTACAATAAATCAAAAAATCAGCCGGGCGTGGTAGTGCGCGCCTGTAATTCCAGCAATTCAGAAGACTGAGGCGGAAGGATCGCTGGAGCCCAGCGGGTCGAGGCTGCGGTGGCCGGGAGCGGCCACTGCACTCCAGTCTGGGCGACAGTGAGACTCCAACTCAAAAAAAAAAAAAAAAAAAAAAAAAAAGATTGGAAATCAGCCCATATAGCATAAGATATAAATTAACTTTATGATATGAATGTATTAGAAAGAGTGCTTATATAAAAATTAAAGTCTTGTGTTGTTTTCACAAGAGTAAAATAAAGTATTGCTTTACTAGTCTATGAGACTCTTATCGATTCTGATGATAAAATCCTTAATAAAGTATTGATTGATTTAAAAAGAAAGTAGATCCAAAATGATAAATATTTCCTGGCTATATTCAGAGACCATATAAACCCAATTTGGTTTATTTTATTATTTATTATTTAACTTACTTAAATGTGATCCCTTAATGAGAAATGATAATTTGGAAACTTACACATAGAATGTTAGGATTGAGCTCAATGTCTGACTGATTCTTTACTCCACTAGAATATGAGGCCAGGGTTTAATATAGGGAACCAAGGAGTCACGATGTACAATTCATAAGCTGCTCCAAGAGAAACTTTGGTTGTGTGTCTGTGGTGGGTGGTGGGTAGATGGGGATTGGTACTTCAGTCTCTTGCCTTAATTCCCACATGAGGTAAGTTAGCTTTGAAATAAACAGCTGCACTTTATAAAAATGTCCTGGAAAGATGTTATGGTCGTTGGAGTCATTTCAACCATCTCATGAGCTCCATACTGACTGGAGTAGACCTGAACTGATGATAACCTTGGTTTCTTTTGAAAAGTGCTAGAAATACCCGTCTTCCTGATATATGTGTAATTGCAATAGATTCATTCTCATTCATCATCATCATTATTATATTTTGTACTTATCATAAGGAAAACCTATCAATAACACTTCAACTTTTTTTTTCAATCTTTTTACCTTAAAAGTCCTCCTTCCTCACCCCCAATCTTCCAAGATCTTCCTGAGGGGAATACAGATGTGGGGTGTTGGACTCTGGCAAAGGTCCATAGTGGTGAAGACGCTCAGAAGGATATTAGGGGTTTTCCATCCTCCCTATCTGATGAAATACCATTTTTATCTTCCTTCCTTCTAACCTGCCAGAGCTAATGCATAGCATGCCCATTTAAAGAATAGTGAGATTATTCTCTGAATCCATACATTTTTTTCCCACTGACAGAGCAAGAGAAATATGAATCCTGAACCTTTTAAAGTATATTTTGAGTATAAATAATCTTGGCTCTAGTCATCAACAGACAGGCTAATTATTTGTTCACACATGCTCTGGCCAATTTTTAGCTCATTTGGGGACTTGTAATGACTTTGGATTTTGTCTTTTGGGACAGTAACCTAAGGATCATATCTTTTTCACTGGTTCCAGGTTTTAGGGGATTTGGGGATAAGTTTTATAATCATATAGAAATTGCAGGCTAAAGCATTATGAGGCAAGTGGATTCTTTTGTAGGCTATATATAAAATGTTCATCTCTTGAAGACTTGCCTTAAGAGGAGAGAGTCTTGATTTAAGGAGAAATCATCACAAAGAAGAGAGGCTTAGACGACAAGCTATTCTGACTCAGCAGTAGTTTTGTCCTTATAAATAAACAGTGACTCAAGTCAAGAGCAAAGTGATAGTGTAGAGAAGGCCAGTGCAATACCATGCCTGGGGTATAGGAATCACAGAAATGCATTTATAGGAACATTCATTTCCCATTTAAAGTTTGTTAGGAACTATTAGAGGTTTATCACTCTTCTGACAACAATTCTATTTGGAAGATGACTTGTTTATATAAAAATAATGTTGAATGTGAAAGTGCTCATTAGCTTGAAAGGCAAGTCAAATGGTTCGCTTTAAGAGCTGAGTCACAGTCTCATTTGCCACCACAGTTGACAGTCTCCATTTATTTTACTTCGTAGCTTAATTCCATCTCAGCAGTGCCATTAGGTGCCTGCTTTGATGGTGTGGAAGAATACACACAGACGTCTGATATTTCTGAACACGTGGGTTGTGACGCATTTAAATGTGTTCTAATAGAGCATCTGCCCAGAAACAGCTAAAGCCTTATAGTTGCTTTTTAACATAAGGAAGAGGAAATTGACCACTATGGAATAATTAAAAATAGCAACTCTCTGGAAAAGTAGAAGCTAAGTTGTTAAATGCCAGGGCACCAAGAGGCAATATTCAGTCATCTAAATTGGATAATTTATATCTTTGTCACTTGAAGATCTGATACATAGTTGAGTCAATGAATCATCCCACTAACATCTCATAACTAAAGCAAAGCTTGTTTCCTTTTCACAGGCAGGATCTTAGTCAATTTAAAAATAAATTATCCTGTCTTTTCCAAATCATAGAATAGGCAGGCTCATACAGGCAGCACCAGTTAAATGAGGCCTCAGAGAAGAGATTATATCTTGTCTTAAAATATTTCCAGTGAAGGAGGCCGAGTACGGTGGCTCATGCTTTAATCCTAGTTCTTTGGGAAACCGAAGTGGAAGAATTGCTTGAGCCCAGGAGTTTGAGACCCACCTAGGCAACATAGTGAGACCTTGTCTTTACAAAAAAATTAAAAAATTTGCCAGGTGTGTGGCATGCACCAGTAGTCCTAGCTATTCAGAAGGCTGAGGTGAGAGGATTGCCTGAGCCCAGGAGGTCAAGGCTGCGGTGAACCATGCTCATGCCACTGCATTCCAGCCTGGGTGACAGAGTGAGATTCCTATTTTTAAAAAAAATTGTAGTGAAGGAGATGATCCAGACTACTTTGATGATACTTTTCAGTGTTTGAAATGCTTCTCTTCCTTCAAAAAAATAACTTTACAAGTACTTACGGTTTATAAAGAACAGTCGTATATATTTTCTCTTTTGAGTCTCATGATGATGCCATATTATATATAAAGATTACTAATTACTATCAGAAATTAAGATTCAGAGAGGTTAAGTGACTAACACAATGTCATATAGCTGGTGAGGGGAGTAATCACAACTTGAGAATAGTTATTTTTGCTCTAAGTATGATGCCCTTTGTACTTGGCATTTTGCTGACTCTGGTATGTCTATAAAGCTGGGCCTGATAGATATGCATTATGGTGCTTTTGGAAAATTTGTCGCTGGGATAATTATCTGAACTGATGATGTGGTTGAGAGTATTATTAACTTGAGTCTATGTTCAGAGCAAAGGCTGGTATAAAGAAATATCTAGAAAGTGGCATTGATCAGATGTTCAATGTAAATTAATTGGGAATAATAGGCATAGTAGACAGTCCAAGACTAAGATAAAATCTGTCATCTTATAATTATGAGTATTCAGAGGACTGGACATTTATTGGCACTGTGGATCACGGAAGGGTGAAATGGGCTGAGGAGACCGGGATTCTGTGAGACTAAGATCCAAGGGTACTTCCAGAAGTGGACACACTTGCAAGGTGCAATTTTTCCCTGTGAAATCTTGTGACAAAAGACTATGAAATTTCATTTACATTGGAAGAAACTTTAAGATTATTAGAGCCATTGATATTTGTGTTTTGCTCTAAACTGGACCTGCTAATAGCATTATATTGAAATTCAGATGTGAATTTCCATAATGTTCATTTGTTTACCTCAGCCTAAAAATTTTCTCAAATGAGAGTCATTGGCTATTGTTAGCTATCAATCTTACTTTCAAGATACTTCAAAATATTTTGAGGGAAAGAAAGTGATTTTTATATACGGTGTTAAGCCCTTTGTGATATAAAGTTAGAAACCTTTTATTTAAGTCAGCTTTAAGAGAGACCTCTTTAAATGGTTGCAAAGTATAAAGAAAGAAACTTTATAAAGGATCCAGCTTTATTTCTTTCACATATAGAGAATTGAGCTAAGCAGTCAAAGCACCAGGAAATAGGTAGAGAGGGTCTTAAGATACCTGCTTTAATAAACAAAAAAGTAATTTGTACTTAATATTTGGTTTTATTTCAAAGAATATGCAGGCTTTTGAAAACTAAGCTTTTTCTTTATATCACAATATTAATTTCCTTAGCAATTTCTCTTTTCTGAAATAGCATAATAAATAATCATAATATCTGAATATCAGAAGTTGATCGAGTGTTACTGAATTCGTCTATTTTCTAAATGAAATGAATGCATTCTTTTCTCATTATTTTACAGGATCCCTCAAACCAAAAATGTGGGGGAAGAAAGAAAACTGTGTCTTTCAGCAGCATGCCATCGGAAAAGAAAATTAGCAGTGCCAATGACTGTATCAGCTTCATGCAGGCTGGCTGTGAACTGAAGAAAGTCAGGCCAAATTCTCGCATTTACAACCGTTTTTTCACTCTGGACACAGACCTCCAAGCTCTTCGCTGGGAACCTTCTAAGAAAGACCTTGAGAAAGCTAAGCTTGATATTTCTGCCATAAAAGAGATCAGACTGGGCAAAAACACGGAAACATTTAGGAACAATGGCCTTGCTGACCAGATCTGTGAGGACTGTGCCTTTTCTATCCTTCATGGGGAAAACTACGAGTCTCTGGACCTAGTTGCCAATTCAGCAGATGGAGCAAATATCTGGGTGTCTGGGTTACGGTACCTGGTTTCTCGAAGTAAGCAACCCCTTGATTTGATGGAGGACAACCAGAACACCCCAAGGTTCATGTGGTTGAAAACAGTGTTTGAAGCAGCAGATGTTGATGGGAATGGAATTATGCTGGAAGACACCTCGGTAGAGTTAATAAAACAACTCAACCCTACCCTGAAGGAATCCAAGATCAGGTTAAAATTTAAAGAAATCCAGAAGAGCAAAGAAAAACTAACCACCCGAGTGACAGAAGAGGAATTTTGTGAAGCTTTCTGTGAGCTCTGTACCAGGCCAGAAGTGTATTTCTTGCTTGTACAGATATCTAAAAACAAGGAATATTTGGATGCCAATGATCTAATGCTCTTTTTAGAAGCTGAGCAAGGAGTAGCCCATATCACTGAGAATATGTGCTTAGACATCATTAGGAGATATGAACTTTCTGAAGAGGGGCGACAAAAAGGGTTTCTTGCAATTGATGGTTTTACCCAGTATTTATTGTCATCAGAATGTGACATCTTTGATCCTGAGCAAAAGAAGGTTGCCCAAGATATGACCCAGCCATTATCTCACTACTATATCAATGCCTCTCATAACACCTACCTGATAGAAGACCAGTTCAGGGGACCAGCTGACATCAATGGGTATGTTAGAGCTTTGAAAATGGGCTGTCGAAGCATCGAGCTGGATGTCAGTGATGGCTCAGATAATGAGCCAATCCTTTGTAATCGGAATAACATGACAACACATCTTTCCTTTCGAAGTGTCATAGAGGTGATAAATAAATTTGCCTTTGTTGTTTCCGAATACCCACTCATTCTTTGCTTGGGAAATCACTGTTCCCTACTACAGCAGAAGGTGATGGTTCAGCAGATGAAAAAGATCTTTGGCAATAAACTCTACACTGAAGCACCTTTACCCTCAGAATCCTACCTCCCATCACCAGAAAAATTAAAAAGAATGATCATCGTGAAAGGAAAGAAACTGCCTTCTGATTCAGACATGTTAGAAGGAGAAGTAACAGATGAAGATGAGGAAGCTGAAATGTCTCGAAGGATGTCAGTAGATTACAATGGTGAGCAGAAACAAATCTGGCTATGCAGGGAACTCTCTGATTTGGTATCTATCTGTAAATCTGTTCAGTACAGAGATTTTGAACTGTCTATGAAAAGCCAAAACTATTGGGAAATTTGTTCATTTAGTGAAACAGAGGCCAGCAGGCTTGCAAATGAATACCCAGAGGATTTTGTAAATTATAATAAGAAGTTCTTATCAAGAATCTATCCAAGTGCCATGAGGATAGATTCCAGTAACTTGAATCCACAGGACTTTTGGAATTGTGGCTGTCAGATCGTGGCGATGAATTTTCAGACTCCAGGCCCAATGATGGATCTTCACACAGGCTGGTTTCTTCAAAATGGAGGGTGTGGTTATGTTCTAAGGCCATCTATCATGCGTGATGAAGTGTCTTACTTCAGTGCAAATACAAAGGGCATTGTACCTGGAGTGTCTCCTTTGGCTCTTCATATCAAAATCATCAGTGGTCAGAATTTCCCAAAGCCCAAGGGAGCTTGTGCCAAAGGGGATGTCATAGATCCCTATGTTTGTGTAGAGATACATGGAATTCCAGCAGATTGTTCGGAACAGAGAACTAAAACGGTACAACAAAACAGTGATAATCCTATTTTTGACGAAACTTTTGAGTTTCAAGTAAACCTACCTGAGCTGGCCATGATCCGTTTTGTCGTTCTGGATGATGACTACATTGGGGATGAATTTATAGGGCAGTATACAATACCGTTTGAATGTTTGCAACCTGGATATCGGCATGTTCCTCTGCGCTCTTTTGTGGGTGACATCATGGAGCATGTGACCCTTTTTGTCCACATAGCAATAACGAATCGAAGTGGAGGAGGAAAGGCCCAGAAGCGCAGCCTTTCAGTGAGAATGGGGAAGAAAGTTCGGGAATATACCATGCTCAGGAATATCGGTCTTAAAACCATAGATGACATCTTTAAAATAGCAGTGCATCCTTTACGAGAAGCCATAGATATGAGGGAAAATATGCAGGTAGGAAAAAAATTCTACACTTTCCTCTCCTACCTCTGCTTCTTCTTGCCCTTCTCTTACCAGTGAACATTGTGTTTTATTAATGATCTGATTTGCAAAACAACATCAGAAAGGTTGTGTAAACCTGGTACCGCTGAACTAAGTTCAATATTGCTGTGTTAAAACAGATATATTTTATGTTTCTAGTTCTGAATGCTATGTTAAGTCTGGCATGAACTCAGATGTAGCAAACTGCTGTATAACCATTAAATATCTTTAGTACATGATTGAATTGATATATGAAAATGTGTATATGAAATAATGGGAAAAAGTAGAACATAAAATATATGTGTGTAATATACAAATGTCTATGCAAACACACTACAGTATATATGTAAAATATTTGTAGATATGAACATGAAAGAGAATTTGAAGTCATATAAAACAAATGTAATGCCTATTAGATTACTTTTTAGTTTTCTAAGTATATAAGAACAACAATAGTAAATTACTTCCCACAAGAACAAACAAAATTCAGCACCCAAACTTGTTGAAAACTATTTAGCCTTCTCTTAGAAATATGGTTTAACTGAAAGAACAAGGATTCTGGATTAAATCTATCCCTGTGTGACTTTGAGCAAATTATTTTAGGTCTCTGATCATCAGTTTTCCCTCTATAAGGTAAGAAAAATAATACATCACAAGATTATTATGAGAATTAGAGCACATGGAAATTATCTAGTAGAAATTCAGTGTTAGTTTTCTTTCTTTCATTAATGCTTATAATCAGAGATAGTTGCAAAGTTTTGTCTTTAAAAAAATTTTTTTAAATTTTATTTTAAAGATGTGGGGTACAATTCAGGGTTAGGTATACAAACCTTGATTATGCAGGTACCCTTGTTGATGAGGTGTACCCCTCCCTCCCTTAGCAGTTTCCCTCAACTGCCAATCCCACCCTCCTGCAAAGTCTATTTAGTTTAATATACTTATTCTAGGCTAGTATTATTAAGAAACAAATCACAAGTATTTACTTAGTACCTGCAGTATACAAAGTGAATATTATTCAGTTCACTCAATTTATTCCTTTAGCTAATGTTTTAATTATAATCTTCACCAAAAAAATTGCTACTTTCAAGATAGAAAATAAACTTGAAGAGGTTAAAAAATTTCCCAAATATTGCAATGAATAGATAGCAACAGGAGGCTTTGAATCCAGGATTGCTCAATTCCAAACCCATTTTCATTCTTGTGATGCAGAACCATAAACCGATGACAGTGGAAACTTTATTTTTGCATTACTTCACAGAGAAGTTCTGAGGTAGGTTTAAAATCAATATTAAATAGCCAAAATACTGGAAAATAATAAATACTTAGACTGTAAGTATTTAACTTGAATGGGTCATCTTAGTCACTATTTTAAAAATAGGCTGTAAATATCAACATCTTTTCCATGACTTTTTCTGACCTACTCCTAATACTATTGCAGATCGCTATATTAGATTAGCTATAAATCACTTTCACACTTAAATTTCTATTTGAGAAGATTTTATATATTTTATAAAATTTTAAAAATATACCCTTTATATTAGGTCTTTAAAATACATATTAAGAAGGGTTGGCTATCGATAAAGTTTTCTAGGTAGCGTTGATAATTTATATTATCTTTGCATAAAGTCTTTTGGGCTAAGGATTATTTGGAGTCTAATCAGTAGAAAAATGAAGACCATCATTGTCACTAGATTCATGAGACCCATATTAGGTTAGGTACTATTCACTGATAATTCTTTTTCAAATGAAATTTTTAAAAAGATTGTAACTTGGACAAATATAGCTCTACATGAAATGTGTTTTCAATGTGTGTGTATCTGTCAGGGACCTTTCTGATGAGTGACAAAGGAGAAATACCATTGCTAGACAAGCCCAAGGGAGAGGCATGCCGATATACAACCACTGACACGTTTTCCTGATCATCATGACATAAATAAAATACAACACTCATGACCAGCCAGTGCTCATTTGTGTGAACTTCCCAGCGCTCTACTTTGAAAAGCACTGTGTAGCTTTGTGTCACAGTCTGCTTTGCTTTTGTGGCATATTTATGGTAGCTGCTACACATTGAAAAAGATGAAGTATAACAGCGAATTGGCTGTCTGTGTCATCTTTGTGCATATCATCACATCATCACATTTTTGGTTGGTTATAATCCAGCTTACTCCAATCATATGTGTCTTTAAAGGTATCCTTGTAATGCATATGTGTAAATGTGGGAGTGCTGAGGTGATGTGTCTGTTATGAGGTCAGGAGTGTGACGCCGTTTCCTTCCTCATAGAACGCGATTGTGTCCATTAAGGAACTATGCGGACTCCCTCCGATTGCCAGTCTGAAGCAGTGCCTGTTGACTCTATCGTCTCGGCTCATCACCAGTGACAGTGTTCCCTCAGTCTCGCTGGTGATGAAAGATGGCTATCCTTACCTGGAGCCTCTGGGTGCAATTCCAGATGTACAGAAGAAGATGCTGGCTGCTTATGATCTGGTAGGAAATGGTGATTTCATATTTCTTAGCTGGGTGTGTGGGAAATCACTAATGGCAGGAACTCTTTTGAGGAACTCCAATGGGTATCACAGAGTGACTGCCTTTGACACATAGATTGTATGTAGCTGGCTGAACCAGCCCACTCAGCTTTCACTAAGTCCCCATGAAGAGACCTCAGAAAATGCTTTGAGCATGGAGCGCCACAGATTATAAATGGACAATCTCTGCTTTAGCAAATAATGATTAAAAAAAAATTTTTTTTAAATTTTTGGTGGAGGCAGAGTCGCACTACGTTGCCCAGGCTGGTCTCAAACTCCTGGTCTCAAGCAGTCCTCTCCCCTCAGCCTCTCAAAGTGCTGGGATTACAGGCATGAGCCATTGACCAGTAATGAATTGTTGAACAACCCTCAAAAGTATATACAGTTGTCATCTAAATGACTTGAGACTACAATATAACGATTCAGTTGTATGCCTATAGGAAGTAAACTTATAAGTGCTGCCTTATGATATTTGAGACAAAAGATTCCTCTGGAATCTATATCTTTTTTTTTTTCTTTTGGATATGGAGTTTGCTTGCTCTGTTGCCCAGGCTGGAGTGTGGTGGTACGATCATAGCTCACTGTAACCTTGAACTCCTGGGCTCAAGCTTTCCTCCTACCTCAACTTCCCCAGTAGCTGGGACTACAGACACATGCCACCATTCCTGGCTAATTTTTATATTTTTGTAAAAGCAAGGTCTCATTGTGTTACCCAGGTTGATTTCAAACTCCTGGGCTCAAGTGATTCTCCTACCTCAGTCACCCAAAATGCTGAGATTACAGGCATGAGCCACTGCATCTGGCCTGCAATCTATATTTCTAAACTAGTAGTGTTATCTACTTTTTCTTAATGCATGATGGAATTTATGTAGTAATTAAATTTAAGAATAACTATGCTTTTGTGTCTCTTAATTCTATAAACAAATTAAGAAGCAAATGATAAACTAGAAAAAATTTGTAGCATATATGCCAGATAATGTATAACTATACCAGATAGTGTATAAGTATTCTTAAAATAGAAAGAACACTTAAAAATATGTAGAAAAAAATGGGGAAAAAAATCTTGTATTCATCAAGATTAAGTTCTGTTGCATGTGACCCCCCCAAAAGTACAACCCATTCATGGTTTATAAACACAAAATTTTATTCTTTCATATGAAAGTATGGAGATCAACCATTCGGGGTGACACTTCTGCAAAGTTTCTAGTATAGTAGACTCCTTCTAGTTTTCTCTTTCATCATCCCTGAGTTAGCCCTTATCCTCATGGTCCAAAATGTCTGCTGAAGGTCCAACCACAACATCTGCATTCTGGCCATCAGAAATAATAAAGATAAGAAGGAGGGCATATCCTCTTCTTTTGAGGACAGTTCTCTGAAGTAGCATAGATCACTTTTGCTTATATTTTGTCAGCCTGGAGTTGACACATAGCCACACTTAATTGCAAAGAATGGAAAATGCCATTTCAAGGGACAAAATGCTAAATGTTGTCACTTCTGTTACTAAGATAGGGAAAGAATAAATATTACAGGATAACAAATAGTCTACTACAGAGATGAATAGGCAGAGATGAATGTCCCCCCAAAAAAAGAAAATGTAAAAACATATTTAACTTTAAATTAAGTTTTAAAATAGAAATTAAAGATATGTAGTAAGATACTCTCCATCAAATTTTTTCTTTTTAAAAATAGTACCTTTGATCAAGAAGTTTAGAAAATGGATGCAATCATCGATTTACCTATAGTAGGAAAATAAATAGATATTTTTTGGGAGAAAAATCCGGCAATATAACTTAAAAGTGTTTATTAATTTAATCATATATTTCTTTTTTTAAAAAATATTTTTTATTATGATGTTGTGGGGTACAGTTAAGGGTTAGGTATACAATTACGTTTCGTTCAGGCACCCTGTTGATAAGAGGTGTTTCCCCGTCCCCAGACAGATATTTGCTACTGTTAATCCCATCTCCCTCCCCCCCTATAGTTTCCCAGTACCATCAGTCATTTTCTTATGGTATTACATTGGATGTTCAAAGTCCATTATATGAGTGAGAACATGTGATACTTGGATCTTTGTTTCTGTGAGAGGTCACTCAGTATTATAGACTCT